GAAATATCTGTTCCACATTAAGAAATACCAAGTCACATTTTTTGTCAAATAGTATTTGTCAAATGCCATTTGCTGCAAAACCTGGGGAATTCAATCCCAGCTGAGCACAGAGCTAATACGGACTGGCTCACATAATAGCCATGGTGGCGCATGCGATCGCTTGCAGTGCAAGCCCTCCTGCCTCCATAAACAGTTGCAGGGACTAGGAAGGCGAGCTCTGGAACAAATAAAGCCTGTGCCCCGAGCTGCCCCAGCACAAAGAACCCCACACGCTGGTGGAGCCCCCCAATGGTTTTGAAAGACTGTTCTAGAGGGTGAAATGGTGAATCTCAGCTTTCTGAGTGCCCCCACAAAAAGTGGGCTACTTTCTTGAAGGTCCAGGCTCACAGACCCTGCCTCTGAGCACACACCTACTGTGTCCCAATATCAGGATCCAAGCCCTGGGCGTCACTGATGTCCCTCATCCCACTGACATCATCCCTCCCAACCCCACGTCGCTCTGGGATCCATCAGGCTGAGGCCATTGGAGTGTGTGAAGCTGAACATGTTATCAGTTTCTATGTAAATATTGGTGTTTCCTCACCCCACGGAGGCAAGGGAAGGCAAAACAGCCTGGGCGCGTTTGATTTAAACTAATTAAAAGCAGAGGGCTGTGCAATTCAATATATTGATTTTACCAGTGGGACTTAAATCTTTTATAATAAGTGTACACAGCTGTGGCTCCCTCCCACCGCCGTGCTCTCCCGCTAATCCCCGAGTGCATTCCTTCTGACAATAGCAAGACAGATCCTATACATCCCTGCCTGTGCCCTGACCCCAGAGACACAGCAGAGCCCCAGAAGGGAAGCCGTACAGCGGCCAGCCACATCCCCTGTGTGCCAATGGGCCCCAGCCACGACTGCTGGGTGGGAAGAGCTCTCCATTCCACAGTTACACGAAGGGGCAGGGTGGGAAGGGTGGAGGAGGCAGCCGGAGGACACTGTGAGGCTCAATGTGGGCCAAATATGACCTTAGCAAGCGGGGTGGGCGAGATATGAAAGCTTTCGGGCGATCAATCAATGTCCACGGGACTCTGCCTGGGATGAAATCATCACTTGTCTCACGGTTCTGCAGGCATGTGACATGCGCTCACATCACGGGCATGCCAGCGCTCAGAGGATCTTCCAGGCTCTGTGTTTATCTGGGCAAAGGCTTGGTGGCTGCCACCACCGTTGCTGAAGCTGAGGCCCCAACCCAGTTCTCTGGAGCTGGGTCTCAGATATGATTTCTTTTCTCCATGGGGGAAAACAATCACCAGCTCTTCTAGGCCCTGCCTCCCACCTTCCAGGAGAACCTCAGACCCAAATGACAGCCCTGGGATAAACACCCAAGCAGCCATCTGAGCTGCCATCCAGGGCCCAGCCTTTGCCTTGATTGCAGAAGGGAAATACATAAGAGATCCAAAACAGTTCAAATCTGGGTCACATAATATCCTTGGGAAAAGGGGAGGGGGGAATCCTTGATTTATAGGCCCAGGAAAATGAGGTTTAAAAGTGACTTTGAAAGGGTTACTGAAAACGCAGCTGTTGGTGCACCCCTATGGTGAAGTTGGTCTGGAGAGAGAGAGAGAGAGAGAGAGAGAGAGAGAGAGAGAGAGAGGAAGGGAGAAACCATGTGACATCTCTATTAACCTTCCTTTGCTAACCAGAAAGGGCTGGAATGTGAAGGAGCCCCTTCCAAATTCTAAGACGGGCCAGCTTACAGCTGCAGGCGCCTGCAGCCATGCTCCGCAGAGCACTCCCCAAAGGACGTGTTTAAATTGTAACAGAACCTTTCCCTACTACTCCCCAGTGGTAGGGCCTGTTCCGAGGGGTAAAGGGGAGATCTTAACGCCAAACACTTGTCTACAGAAAGGACAGCCAGATGGGGTAAAGTGAAAACCGAACTGCTAGGTCTCCCTTCTGCTTCCCAGCCTGACTTAACAAAAGCCACTTTCATGTGCTGGCTACAATAATGACAGGGTTCTAACCTTCTCCTTTTTCTAACTTGCTTCGAAGATTAAACAAATTTCATTCCTTCCTAACCTGGCCTGGAGATAAACAGGAGTCACAAAAACCCTCTGCAAACCAGTTGGCTTTCTAGTAGATTATGAAGAAAGCTGCCAGGGTTTCCAAAGGAAGAATGGTTGGGGTTAATAGCTGGACGAAGTCTCTGCAGGATCAACTTTGCCTGGGGACTGTTTAGGAGAGTGTGGCCTGTTTCAAATTCCAAAATGAAGTTTACCCAGAGGAGTCAGGGGCTTGTTAATCCAAACCAGTTTACAGATCTTGCCATTGAACTTGGGGGCCAGAGCTGGGAAGATGGGTGTCCCATGCAAGTAGCTGATGGGCTTTTCCAGGGGCTTTATGGGAGGGTCAAGTCCTCCATGCAACAGCACCTGGTTTTGTTGTACATTTTCCTTAGTGTAGATCCCGCTCGATCTGGCAAACTGCTCGGATTCCAGGGAGAACAACTTTCAAGAATAAAAACCAGTTTGGCAGCAGACAGAAGGGTAAAAGATCTGCAAGAGCCTTCAGGATTGAGGCAGGGGTCCCTGAGCAAGCAGGCCTGAGGGGCAGCAGAGGTTTGTGTGTGGGCAGCTGGGGAAGCCAGTCTGCACCAACACCAAGGGCTGCAACGGTGACAAGGGATGACTTGATGGGAACCAGGGATATTTTCTCCCTGGGGCGGGGGGGGGGTAAGAGTCAACTTGGCTCTCTAATGCTTTGTCTATTTCTGACCCACGTGACTGGCAGTCCGACTAAGCTTTCTCAGCAAACTCAGAGTGGGGACAAGTTTGCAGTCACACCACCCCTCTCCAACCCATCCGCCACCCCCAAGTCGCTCCCAGGGAGAAATCACACCAGCAGAGGCAGGAGGTTCATACCTGTCCTGTGGCCCAACAGAGATTAAAGATGCACCTACAGGAAGCTCTTAGCTGCAGTCTGGGGCTTCCCCTAATTACCTATAGGTTAGGGACAGAAAGAGAAAGAAAACAGGACCCAGGTCCGTGGGTTCTGTTAAAAGCCACTCTGCTGTCTAATTGTAAGTGATGGTCCAGAAAGCCAGGCCTGCGAGAGTCAGGAGGGTCCCACAAAAGCCCGAAGCCAGCCCCACTGACTAAGAGGCTCAGACAAGTCAGTCTTTGTCCTTTCAACATGAAAGAATGGACTGGAAGGTGTGTGTGCAGCCGGAGGAAGCTACCCAGCTGTGGCCTCCCCAGCAAGCCTCAGCTTGTATCCAAGGCCAGGGGGGGAGAGACCGCCCCCGCCAAGTTCCCAGCAGGGCCCAGGGAGCCGCCCTGGGAGCCACCTGGCCTTCTGGGATGCACGAGGCCAGCTGGGGCCACACTGATTGACCTGAAGCAGACATTGCCACCAGAGTCAGGGATTATATATCGCTGCTTGATGAGCCCAGCAAGGCTCTGAATCACCAGTTAGGACCTTTCCTGGACATCACAGGAGGAGAGAACAGAGGCTGCCCCCACCCTCACGCCTGCGAAAGGACCCTATTAACCCTGGCTTTGGGATGGCTTCACACATCCGAGCTTACCACATAATGCTAAGCATGCTGTTTGGAGTCTTCTTTAGTGTTTGGTAATAAATCTACATGCTTAAAAAAAAAAAAAAACTGACACAGTGAAACACAGCCTAGCACCCTAAGCCCTGACCCCAGAAAAATCTCTGCAGTTCTTGGGTCACGGGCTTTTTCCTACCTTCATATCTTGGAGACAGTTCCAAAGCAGGGCCTCTTCTTAGCAAGTGTCTAAGGGGGAATTTAAACTTGTTTAATATTGTTTTGGCATCTCTATCACCCACCATGACCCCTGTTTAATTGTTTGATTTTTTTTTTTTTTGACCAATAATAGAGGCAGTCAATGGCCTCCCAGGGATTCCAGGGCCTTTATCTGGAGCTGGAAGGATTAACGTGAGACCCCTTCCGCGCCCCAGGTGCCCAGCGGGGGAGGGGTGGCCTTCAAGCTTCATTATTTCCAAGTTGACACAGCGGCCGTGGTGTTTGGTGTCTTCGGGTTTTCTAAGCAACTTCCACAAGCAGAATAAAAGCGGTTCAGGAAGCAGCACTATCAGGGTGAGTTATCACCCAAACCAAATATTTGATGATCAGCCCCACAGCGCACCGCCGGGGGTTAGTTTGAGCAAGTTAGACTCATGTGAGCGCACAGATGCAGGGGGAGCTGTCCCGGACCAGCCGCAACCCAGCCTCGCAGCACTTGGTTGGCTGGGACTCCTGTAGGGAAGAGGGCTCCCTAGCCACTCGGTGGCGGCCTCTGCTCCGAGGTCCCCAGCTACCCAATCGCCAAACCCCGTGGTTTGCGCGCCACACGTGATAAACGCTGAAAATGGATTCTGCCCGCCCGGGACCTATCATTAAATATTTAAAATAGAAAGCTCGCAATGGCAACGTTCTTTCCTCGGCCCCAGACAAGAGCCCAAAGGTAGGGGCCCGGCGACTGAGAGAGGAGCCCCAAGGCACTCCGGGCGCGCGCCGAGACAGGCGCACCGCAAGGGGACAGGTAGGGCTGGCTAAAGCGGGGAAGGGGAAGGGATGCTCGCGATGCCAGAGCCAGACTGGCCACAGAGGAGCGAAAGAAGGGCGGGAAGGCAGCTTGGCCGACAAGGGCCCTTTAAATCCAGGTAGCGCGGGCCGCTGTGGCCGGTTCAGCTCACATGACCCAGCGGGGCGCTTTGAACTGAGCCGCGGCCGGGCCCGCACCGCCCTCCCCAACCAGCGGCGGAGCCGGCAAAGAGACTCAGAACCGATCCTTCCCTCCGGGTAGCTCCCACGAACCGGCTGAGCCGGCAAGTCCCACCGGGGACGCACAGACCCCGGTCCGGGAGTCTCTGGCGGGCACTGATACTTTGCAAATGGGAAGGTGGACCCGCTGGCTGGAAGCAGAGACCCTCTCTCTCCCTGTCCCAAATTGCTCCCTTCTGAGGCATACCCCTCCCACCGCCACTCACCGAGGTTGACGAAGCTCATGACCATGTCGGCGTCGGTGAGGAAGTGGCTGTCCTGCAGGCTGGCTAAAGGGGGACCCTGGGTACTGAAGACGGCCTTGTAGGGGTAGGAGAAGCCCTGGCCGTCGGGCCCACTCTCCTCCACCGCCATGGCGTTGTACAGGTCCAACATGAACATGGGCGCCGAGTTATGCTTCCCCTGGAGGTGCGGGCGCGGGCGATGGGGCAAGCCCAAGATGGACAGGATCTCCCGCTGCATTTCCCGCCGCTCCTGGCTGCGGAGGCGCCGGTGGATGAAGCTCGAGTGCACCTCGTTGTCCAGGCTGAAGTCGGCTAGGGCGGAGCGCAGTAAGAACAGAGGCGCCCAGAGAGCCACGAAGCTGTGTGGCGCCGCAGCGCGCAGCGAGCGCACGTGCATCGCGCCGGCTCTACGCGCGATCCGGGGCACCGGTG